GGTACGGAAGGCCTCTCGTTAAGTGCTTGTCCCCTGGCTTGGATGCGACTGAGCGGCGTGACGGCACCTCTCCGCTGTGCAGACCGCTGCGCAGGTGGGTGACGATGTCGCGATAGGTGCTGACGTGATCAGCAAGTCACCTGCTCGGTCGGGAAGACCTGGGCGGTGGCAGGGCGTCGCTGCTTGGCAGGTGTGGGTTTGTTTTTTTTTTTTCAGCAAAGCTGCGAAGTGTTTCATAACGATGAACTTAGAGATTCGGGAAGGGTCGGAGGGTGGTGCAGGCCTCGGGGGTTCTCTGGTGCGACGTCCTGCTGTCGGGGCGAGTCCGCTCTGAGGTCAGAGCTGGTGGCGCAGGGCTTCAGCCGGTCAGGTCTTGAACGCCTTTGAAGGTAGAGACCATGCAAGCTTTTTGGGCAACTTGTTCCTCAGTTCCACCGTCCTCACGGTGAAGAATTTTCTCCTTTTATGCAGTGCAGACCCCCCTTGTTTCAACGTGTGCCCGTTAGGTTTCCTCCTTCCATCGTGCACGGCTGTTGAAAGTTCACTGGAGTGCTTACGTTAGGTGTGTTTGCTGAAATTGAGGTCGAAGAAAGAGGGTGGTCTGTTTTAGTTGTGTTCTACCAAACTTCCAGGTCTGTTACGTGTATGTAAATAAACTACGTTTTCAGCAAGGGTTGCCGTATAGTTGCAGTTTCATCTATACTAATGGTGCCACAATAAAAGCTACTAGTCGATTGACCAGACGCGATACGGTGACCTCGGTGAATTGAGCTACACCTGCAAATGACATGGGAAATACTCTGCCTTATGCAGGAGATAACAAACATGGGGGTTTTCAGTAAGAAAGTACACAGTAATACAGAGTGAAACAGGTTATGCCTTTTTCCCCAACTTAAAATAGTTGCCTCAGAAAGCATGTTTATTTCGAGAGTGAAATTCTCAAAGTAAGCACAATGATGATGAAGACAAGGTGTGTGGAAGCTTAGTGTTTCAAATGGAAGAAAATCTAATTTCTTCTGTGTAATTATATACAACTTTGCAAATCTATTTCTTTCCTAATTGTTTACATTTGGAATGTATTTTTGTGAGCTGAGGAGTGTGACATGTAAGCATCTCAGTTGTATCTGTTCCTGCAGTTCATCATTTCCATGCTTTAGGTTTGGCGTAAACGACACTACAGAAAGAAGATGACCCACTGGTTTCATCGCAACCCTTTGAAGGCTACAGCTCCCGTTTCCTTTAATTTTTATGGGGTAGCTACCACTCCGGCTGCAACAAAGGTTTGCAAGTAAGTGTACTCGTGGTTAACTTTGCTCTGTCTCTCACAGTTTGGAGAACATCCTTAAAAGTAATGGTTGCTCTTCAGTTTTTGTTCTGAAGATGACTAGAATTGTGTAGGGTGGGAGACAGTAAGACACTGATAACACTGAACATTTAGTTACAAAGAATGAATTATCCAGTTTTCAAGTCTCTGAGTGTATAGCGAGGCCTATTATAATAATGCAGAGGCAAAAGACTAAACATTTCATTGTCTTGCTGATGACTGTGCCTTCTTGTTCAGAAGATTACTTAAAATCATTTCCATAAGTGAATAAGGCATGAATGTTCCCTTGTAGATAGGAATATAATGCAAAGAGGTCTCAGCTTATTTTGCAGATCTATTTATATGTCTTCATATGCTCATCCCATTCTAATGTTAAAGAATGTTCCTGCTTGTTACTTCCCTTCACTCTCTCCGACCTCAACCTCTTGGTAGATAAAGGCATAGTTATTTTAGTTTGTGTTAGAGCAATAGATTGATAGTGAGTACTGATTATCCATTGCTGCCTGTCCAAAATGTATTGTACTAAAGAGTCAGTCGTCTGTATACAGAGGAGAAAGGAAGATTTTTCTGTATTTATTGGCGTCTTCCTCATAAAGTACTTTTCCTTGCCTTCAGATAGCTAAATTGAATGCTTAGCATCACTTTCTTTGGTGATATACATGCGTGAGTACTTCCTTAAGAGTACATTTTTGGGTAGAATTTCTTAGGTTTCTTTTTTTTGCCCCCCTCCGTATAGCGATTTGAGGTTGTCTCGAACACGACTATTGGAGCTGTTTACAGACTCGAGTTGTAATCCAGAGATGATGAAGAATGCAACTGACTTGTACTTCTCACTCTTGCAAGGTAGGAGCATTTATTAGCAAGAGGTGTATCGTTTGAGTTTTAATGACGCTTCTCAGAATGCGTGTGATGCTAGTCTTCTGTAAAGAAGCTTTGCACTTCTCAGGAAGGAGAGTATCTTCATGGGTGCTGTGCTTGATACCAGCCGTGGGTACTCATCAGGCCCTTCCTACAAGTTGCAGTGTCCTTTGTGACACTGCCAGTCGTAAGTGTTGGCAGTCCTGTCCTCTTGCTTTTAACCTCATTCTGCTTCCTGCTGGAGGAGAAATTGTTTATTCATAGACTCACAGAATAGTTTGAGTTGGAAGAGACCTTTAAAGGTCCCCTGCAGTGATCAGGGACATCTTTAGCTGGATCAAGTTGCTCAGACCCTGTCCAACCTGACCTTGAATGTTTCCAGGGATCAGGCTTGTACCAGCTCTCTGGGCAGCCTGTTCCAGTGTTTCACCACCCTCATTTCAGATTGTGGTGAATTGCTCCTTAAGGATAAATTTAGTCTATTATTTACTTGTCAGGAGTCGCTCTTCGGTGTAATCTTCTGGTTTGTCTAACGCTAGAGAATAGACCTGTTGCAAGTTTACCCTTCTGCTTCTGCTTGTCTTAGGTGTATGATTAGGTGCTCATTAGCGTAGTATCTACATTTTCAGTAGGTGGTCACCTGTGATGACGCGTACCCTTAAAGCCTTCCTCCTGCCAATATTCTGATAACTCTCTTAGAGTCAGGTGCTCAGACAAGTTTCTTAGGACTGAGTTTTCAGGAATCAGCTGATTCATGGAAACTGCACTCTGTGGGAAGTGAAGCAGCTCACGTTGGTTTAGCTCCCTCAGTCCCTGGGAGGGTGTAAGTTAATGCAACATTCTAGATAAAGGTAACAGTCCCTGTTGCTGCAGACAAGATTTCGAGAGTTTCTTCAGGAAACCATTGTGCTCGGTCACTGAAATCTTCTGTGTAGAAGTATTTTTATAAACACATGACAGCATGTAGATCTATAACCCAAATAGCTGCTGTTGCAAGTCTTGAGTTCTTGAAGTCTGTAAGACCTGATCAGACCAAGGCCTTTCTTACTCCTCCCTGAAAAATTCCTTGGGCCTGCATATGTTAGGATTTGAACATCCCATAGCATGAACTTCATCCCACTGACTGTTGCAGTCATGGCTGCTGGACATAAAGAACCAATTTTCTGTAGCCCTGAAGACAAAAGAGGCGATGACTAGGTGAGTCCATGCTTACAAGCCCTTTTCTCTCCTGGTTGACCAGGCAGCTTTTCCTGGAATTTCCCACTACAGTGGCAGGGACAGTCACTCACCTCGAGCAGCTTCAGCCATCCTGTACCTGGGTCAGTCCAACTCCCAACTGGTCACCATATGGGACATGGAGAGATCTGCAAGGTTTTCCTTGAGCAGTCAAGGCTCACAGGATTGAGCTGGTAACCTGCTGGGCAAGGAGTTCCTTGTAGTAGCCAGTTTGGGGTTTTGCATGTCTGTTGTCAAGATATTGAGGAATAAAAGTGTCAGGAAGTAACAGGTTTTTGGGTGGCACAGCAAGAATATTGCTTTATCTGTATTCTTATTGATCTCTTTCTGTTTCTTACTTTGAGATTGCCTGTTGATACATCTTTTTATTCTGTAGGTTTTATCCTTTCACTGGATGACTCTTCCCAAGAATGCAAGTTGAGATACATTCAGAATTTCAAGTGGACAGACACATTACAAGGACAAGTTCCAAGGTACGTGTGCTTTTATGATTACAGGGTACACCGCCGTTTTCTTCTGGTCTGTTACATATATGCATGTATGCCAGCACAGGTGTGAAGGAAAACTTAGAAGTGTAGCAAAATGTTGAACACCAGGTAGTTTCCAAAAACTTATTGCTTTGCATTTTTGTTAATTGCTGTGCTGTATTAGGTGTTCTGAAGCACGTGTTGCCTTTATGTAAAGGCACAATAACACATGGTAACGGTAGAAGGATCCATTGTGTCTTATTTGATATACAAACTATACCTGCAGTTGGCTAGAGCAGTACAAAGAACCACCTTGAGAGTATTGGTGAATTGAATATGGTAAATAGATTACTACAGTTTAAAGTGGCACTATTGTCTGACCAGCGTCCTCTGAGTTTTTTGAAGTACAAATGTTGCTGAAGCTCTGATTTTGTTCTTGTCCTCCGAAGCTCTTTGTGCATGTACCCCAGGTACAAACAAACAGAGCTGCTGTTTTAAGTAGGAATATATATCTGTAACCTTCTGGATTACTCAGTTGTCTCTTGCTGTTGTAGGTAATTGTGTTGTATAACCACACTTACAAATTTGTCAAGCTTTATCTAGAAGAAATGCTTGGCTTCCTCAAAGCTTTTATTCCCCTTGGAAGACAATCTGTTGATTAGGACACTCTCCTAACTTTCTCACAGTCATACACAGTTGTACTTGTGCCAACATTATTCTTCCCACTCCCACACTATTCTTTTTAAAGTTTACTATTCCTAAGCTATACTGAGCTTGTGATTGCAAGTTCACTTTTTTCAAATACCATGTTTTTAGCTTCTGAAATTTCTGATTTGCACATGCTGTTTAACTGCAGTAACTTACGTGTTTGCAATAACGTTCATTTGAGGAAGATGTAATAGACTCTGACTTATTCACATAGCAGCTACCACTTTAAAGTAGACATTCCAGAGCAAGGCTTTCCACAAAATGTGCAATTTAAAAAAAAAAAAAAAAAAAAAGGTGATGGAAAAATGTCAGCCACGCCCAAAGCTAAATGAATCTCAAGTTACTGTTTTAAAATAAAAGTTCTCAAATGGGAAGGGTAGGCATCTGAATGTGGGAAGTTATAATTATGAGCTCTTAAAGGGAATAAGTAAAAATTGAAGTCTCTTTTAGGCAGTTCAGCAAGTAGGAGGTTCTGAATTGGAAATTGTTTGCTTCTTAAATGAAAAATATTTTATGGAGAGAAATGTCAACTTATGCTATGTGAACTATTGGCAGAGAGAGCTTGTCAGAACAAAACAGAAAGCATTGAGTTGTTTGGGGGGTGTTTGTCTGTCTTTCTTTAGTGCCCAGCAGGATGCAGTGTTTGAACTGGTTTCCATGGGATTTAATGTAGCTCTGTGGTACACAAAATACGCATCAAGACTTGCTGGAAAAGAAGAGTAAGTGTTTTTCTTTTCTTAGTAGTTCCATTACAGCAACATTCCACCAAAAAAAATGAGCAGGTTATGAGTTTTGACTGCTGTAGTGCCTGTCCAGCTGAGACGGTAGGAGTTCAGGGAAGCAGTTGGCCTTCATTCGTGTGCTGTAATGCTCAAGTGCACTTCAGTCCCTTCTTGAATGCGTGAACAAAGTGTACTAGTACCTTGTGACTGTAGTCTAGAGAAAGTGTCAGTTGTGAATAAACCCTTCATCAGCCCTGCTCTAAATGTCCAGGTGCAAAATTGGGATTCTCAAAATCACAGCTCTGCTGACTTTTAGCCCTATAGATTTCTAAAGCTTTGGCTTTTAACACTGAGGTTATCTTTTACGTGAAAGTCATTACAAGGTCTTTTATTTCTCTTTTCAAGTGAGTCCTGTTTGATTATTTAATGATTGGGCACTCCAAGAAACTTCTTTACTGTGGGGGCAGCACAGCAGTGGGACAGGTTACTTAGAGAGTTAGTGGACTCTCCATTCTTGAAGGATTCAAGATTTATCTAGAAGATGAATTAATCTAGAGAACTGATCTACTGTTGTCAGTAATCCTGCTACAAAGCAGGAGGTGGGACTAAATGACACCTAGAGGTCCTTTCAAACTAAAATTTCCTTGATTCGTTCTATATTCTTAGTATAACAGAAGATGAAGCAAAAGACGTTCACAGAAGCCTGAAGGTAGCAGCTGGGATCTTTAAACACTTGAAGGTAGAAAAACTGTTTTTGCTGTCTGTCTTTAAGTTGTCTCCAAGTACTTGACTTCTTGTCTTGGAAAAGCCTTTGCTTTTGTGACGAGGTTACAGAATAAACAAGTCCCTCAGACTAACTGAATGATACAGGAAAAAGAAGGGTGTTAACATGTTCTGCAACTCAGTGCTTGCTATTCTTTCCTGATGACAGTGGAAGAGTAATCTGTCTGCCTGCCCAGCAGCACAGGCAACGGCGCAGCCAGCCGTCTTGGGACCTTCACTCAGCATCCCATTCGTTTAGGAAAAAGGGATTTGCTTTGCATTGGTAGCAGTGTTATTAAGTCTGAACTAACTTTGGGACTTGCTTTGTACTTAGGAAAGTCACATTCCAAAACTGATTACACCTGTAGAAAAGGGAAGAGATTTAGAAGCTCGACTTATAGACTCTTACATCGTCCAGTGCCAAGCTGAAGCTCAAGAAGGTATCTTCAAATACGCGTTTGGGGATGGGAAATGACAGTCTTTGTGGGTTGCTTTGATGTCTCGTGAAGTCTGCTTGGTAGCAATGCCTTTTTCTTCTCCCGAAGTACTGTGGCTTAGTGGGGTGGGTTTCTTTTAAAGAAACTCAAGTTACAGTTATAGAAGGCAAATGCCAAAAATTAGTCTGATACTCCAAATGTAACCACTTTTGAAGAACTTGTGTGTGACATTTCTCCCCTCTTCTTTTTTCCTCTCATGCAGTCTGTTCACCAACATGCTTGTCTAACGTAAATTCCCAGTTCCTTTACTTTAAAATATTTGCAGCTTCTGTTTACTAGCTAGTCTTCAGACTAACCTTCCTTTGGCTTTTCTATTAATTTGGAATCATTCTATCCAAGAAACAATCTGTCTTTATTCTGCAGTTTGCTTGACTACACAATACTTGTTTTCCCCCCTCATGCAGGGGTTTTAAAATGCTAAATGCCTCTGCTGATTTGATGTGACCTTTTCAATTAAACTCTAATACTGTGGTGTGGAATTTTTCTTTTTTCAGTGACAATTGCTCGGGCTATTGAGCTGAAACACAATCCAGGTCTAATAGCTGCTCTTGCTTATGAAACAGCTAACTTCTACCAAAAAGCTGGTAAGTGTCTTGTTTTGTATCCTTAGTGACCTGATTTATGCATTCTTACCAGCAGACACACTTCACCCGCCTGTCAATTGCGATATTGACACTGTTTCTCAGTGGATATGCTTTGTATATTTAGCTTCTATTTAGCACATTTAAGACTTCAGTTATCAGTGTAAGAGATACATTTTTATAAGGCCTTTTGGTTTTGTGGGTTTTTTTTTCTGTAGATAGTGGTAGGAAATGTTAGTGAGGGGAGACAGAAGAGAGAGTAATGTCTTGAGAATATGTAATAGAAGCAAGCAAATGGCTTGATGTAAATGGGGTGTGTTTCAACTGGCTTTGGGCAGCAGATTATGATGCTGACCATAAAATGTGTAGTGGGTTAATTATTTACATCCTTTCAGGTGAGTAAGCTGCTCTGTGGGCTTACTGAGGCAAGTGAGAGAAGTGCAAAAATATAGGAGTCAATATAGGAGATGGAATATTGTAACATATGTAGGCTTTTCTGGGTCACTGCTTGAAATTAAATTAGTTTTGAAATGCTGCTTAAAAGTACTTAGGAGAATTAGCCTTCCAAACTTAGTGGACAGCAGTTTCAGGTATTGTAGGGACACCTGCATGACAGCTCAATAAACTGCATATTTTTGTTGTTTTTTTTTTTTTTCCTCTCATAGTTTCTCTGTGCCTTTGCAGGAGTAATTGATGTCACTTGTTTCTGGCTACTTTATGGTTAAGATCTATTGTTAAGTTTAAGAATTCTGGACTCTGAGTGTGTGTGTGTGATTTTTCTTTTTGGAAGTGTCCTAAAGAATAACTTTACCTATGTGTTCATAGATCAAACATTATCCAGTTTGGATCCAACCTATGCAGGTAAATGGAGGAAGTACTTAAACTTGAAGAGCTGTTTCTATATGGCCTATGTAAGTACTGCAGTTGACCACAGTCGAAGCTTTTAATGTTGTCTAAGGGCTGGATAGCGAATGGGGGGATAAGTATTGCCTTGACTTCTTTCCATGCTGTGAAGAGAGACTGTGCAGTGTCAGTGGCATTTTAAGTGTTTTTGTTGAGCCACGTGAAATTACTGCAGTGTGGAATTTATTGTGATCGTGTATCGTTAAGCGAAGCAATTCAGGTTGAGCATAACCCTTGTCTTCCGTTATCTGTGTCAAAATCTGATTCTAGGCATAATTCAGAGCTAACAATCTTTTTGAAGGCCCTGAATGAAACTGCATCAAGTAATGTTAGGTACCACTCCAAGTGCTGTCCGTTTTTATGTGATTGGTCTCTTAGCAAGTGCAGTGGCACTTGGGATCATCAGCTGCTCAATTTGCTGTTTATTTCTTGTAGCCTGCCACAGCCTGTAATCTGTCTCTTTCCTGCTGTGACAAAGGCCCAAACTAAGCAGTTAACACAGTTGTCTTTGTCTTAACTGTTAAACCTGCAGCTAAAAGCTCCTTGCCTTATTAGCAAGTTTGAGAGGTGAGGGAAGGTCAGAGCTGTGGTACTTTTTCTTTTTTTTTTTTTTAATTTGTGTAATATGGGCAATAGTAGATTCAGGTAACACTTGCTATACTGTGAGAACAGACATTAAAGGAAGGTGTGCAAGGTAGTCATTAGTTCATGGGATTGTTCCTTTACCTGTGGTATTTAGTATTTAAACCCAACAACTCCTGATAATAGAAAAGAGGTGATTCAGTTCTCACTGGAATACAGTACTGTCTTCAAGCATAAGTGTGAAGGAATAGGACTTTTGGGGGCAGGGGGGGAGTTGCTTGGACTATGACAAAATATCTGAAGCAGCAGAACACCTCATCTCTTCTGGAATCAGTGAAGTTTGTTGCAGATTCAGCTTTTGAGTGTTCAGGTAGTTTTAGTTATTAGAGTCTTTGCTTTGTAAATTTGACTGAGGTTCATCCTCTTTCTGTGATGAGGCTTGTTGCTGCACATGAACACAGCGAGGGAGAGAGGTTTGAACTAGACCTTATACTGGTGCTTTTGGTAAAACAGCCTTCATGAACCTCAGAGTTACTCTTAGCTAGACTTGAGACAGCTTGCTTCATAGCCACCTCACAGACAGTGTGTTGAACTGCATTGTTCAGGGAATGCTGCTTTGACTTGCATTCCCAAATTGTCAGCTGTCTGCAGGGAATGGCAGCCCCAAAGGGATGCAACTCTGATGTAAGGAGGAGCAGAAGTGAATTGGTGCAGGACATGCCCAATCATGTCGGTAATGATTTTGTCCTCTCCCACCAGGCATACTGTTACCATGGCCAAACTTTACTGGCAAGCGATAAGTGTGGGGAAGCAATCAGATCTCTGCAGGAGTCAGAAAAATGTAAGTGTGACTGAGACTGGATTACAGGGTCTGATGATGACATGCCTGTTTTAATTGGCTGTATCATGTTTATTTGGTCTCCCATAAACTTAGGATTTTATCTGTCACTGGATGAGATTCCAGCACACTTTTGAATAGAGACAGTATATTCTTGTTTGTCTTACCAAAGGCTGTCTTTCATAACAGTGCTGCAGAAAATTTCATCTTCACTTCTCTGCATGTTAAAAGACTGGCTTTGAACTGCCTGCAATACAGTGTAAAAATCAATTGCCTGGTCATTACATTTTCTGGTCTGTATGTTAAGTTCCTGCAGCCCTTTCTGCTTTGGAGGTTGCTTGGTCTTACATTAAATAGTAAATCTAGACCCTGTTCATTTATTTGTTTTTAAACAGGTTTCAGTAACTTACTTTCTATTCATTGGAAAGTCAGATGAAGGGAAGTTTGTGGTAGTTCAGGGTCTTCTGCCCATCCATCTCTCTTCAAAGCTGTTGCTACCCCGATGGACTGCATTGCATAGCTTTACCACGGTGTATTAAAAAAATGCTCAAATTATCAAATTGGAAACTTTTAGGGTTTTTTAAATAAATAAAAAGAATTTATTAAGAACAAACTAAGTTGGAGTACTTGCAGTAAAACAAATACTGTGTTTTTTACTGTGCCTGATATTCAGAGAATAGTGCTTCTGTTCTCACTCCATATTAAGTGTTTTTTATTTTGGGGCATCAACTCTGCATGGACACCTTCATATCCTCTGTTTTCCCTACCACGTGGCACAGTTCTTGGGCTTATCATTGCATTTTGCTCCACACATAAGAATGCTTTCCTGCATCTTCTTACCCAAAAAGCTATCTTTTTTTTTTTTTTTTTTTTTTTCCTAGTCACTTTTTGGATGCAGTAAATTTTGGCTGGAAGTGCTGCCTTTGAGCTAGTTAATTTTTGTTTCTAAGAAGCAAGAAGCCTGAATGGATTCTGGTATCTCCTAAAACTGAGGCAGTGTAGATCCGAACTGTGATTTAATAGTCATGTAAATGATTTTTATTACATTTCTTTCTTGCAAAGTTTTTGCGAAGGCTGAGGCATTGTGTAAAGAATATGGAGAAACCAAAGGGCCTGGGACTACTGCCAAACCTTCTGGACATCTATTCTTTAGGAAATTAGGAAGTTTGATTAAGAACACACTAGAAAAATGCCAGAGAGAGAATGGATTCATGTAAGTAATTTGTGGTTGGTACAGTACTCTATATGAACTGTTATTACCTCATTTGTCTTTATTTCAAGATGGGATGGTAAATTTCACTCTCCAATTCTTGTATTCCTTTAGGGCATGTAACTTAAAGATAAATTCGCAATTTTGTCATTTTCTCTCAGCAGATTTGCTATGGGTCTGTGCTATCACTCTCTCTGTGTTCTGTGCCAGTTCAGCGGGGTAGGTAGGCCTGGCATGCTGGATAGATTAAGCAGTTTTCTTCCTTCATTCCTCAGCCACTTTGTTTCTTTACCATCTGCACAAGAGAAAGTCCTGCAGAGGTTGCTGTATTGCTCTAATACCCTCTTCCCAGCTGCTGGGATCTAGTAGGCAAAAGAGGACAGAGGGGAAATGGAGAAGACTGGTAGCTGATTCTGCTTTGCTAGCAGGGAAGTCAAAACACAGCCCTGCCTTCAGGAGAATATGCTTACGGTGCTAGGAGTGTTACCAGTCTAAGTATAATTAGTATTGTGAAAAGGGCTTTCTGCTAGTTAATGCCCCTTCCAAAAGGAGTTTGGAAGCAGTTTAAAATAGCAAGATTAGTTTGGCTTAAAATTCCTTTGCTCATTTATTTTTCCCCTCCCATCCTCGTAGGATTTTGTATTCCACAATAGGTTTGTTATTTCCTTTTTTATGAAATTTAAAGACCTGCGTAATAGGGGAATTGACTAAATAAGAACGATTGTCAAGTACATCAAGCTGAACTGCAAATGGGAAAAGAAATTCTCTGCTCTGCTTTGGTTCCCATAGCCATTGTCATAGCTTACAACAGCAGCATACAGGAGATTCAATAAGTCCATATCCCTCTAGAAACAAACTTTGAAAGAGAAACCAGATAACCAGTGTCTGTTTTGGGTGATGTGCCTGCCACAGAGCTCTGCTGCAGCACGGGAAATAAGGTGGCACGTGTCAGTATTTGTCAGTTTTCACCTCTTTGGTTTGCCAAGGGTGGGTTTATACCCTCATTCAGGCTTCGTGTTGCAGCAAGTCTTTGTGGGTGTTGCAGTGTCATTGCTGTTATGCACTGTGGCACAGTAAGACTGATTTAGGAGAAGAACTGTCCTCTTCGTCTTTCTTGAGCAGCCTTTTAAATCCTCTTGGATTTTGAAGGTCCTTTTGGACAAAAGGTGCTCCTCTCATTGAAGCTCTGGGAATAATGGTCAGGAAGTAGGAAAACACGCACCTAGCTATTAGGGGATGAACAATACTAAGAAGGAATCACTTTTGTTCTTGTGAATCTTGCTGACAGAATGCTTGTTGGATGTGAAATGGAAGAGAGCAGCATTGATTGCTACTGTAAAAACCCAGATCGTTTTTCTTCAGAATTGCAAACGACTCACAGAGATAGTGCATTGTGTTTTAAATATATTGCTGTATTCTATTACAGCTATTTTCAGAAGGTGCCAGCAGAAGCTCCCCAGCTGGAACTGAAAGCGAACTATGGCTTAGTAGAGCCTGTCCCTTTTGAATTTCCTGCCTTGAACGCACACTGGACTCCTGAAACACTTGCAGCATTTGATCTCACCAAGAGGCCGAAGGATGACACTGTAAGATAATCTTATGTCCTGTTCTTTCCCATTAGCTTTATTCTGTCTGTAGTACAGACTTACTGTTTTGCTTTTCTGTAATGTGCCCCAGCTCAGTGCAGGATGTAGACACAAGGCTACTGCCCGAGCTCGTGTTTCTGCTGTGCCGGGAGGCAAGTCAGTTAACCTCACTGCCACCCTGTCAGCATCTGGAAATGAGGAGTAATTTTTTTTCTAAGTCCTGAATAGGAGGGAATTCTTTAGTGTGTATAAGATGCTGAAATGTTACAGGAGTGAATGCAGCAGAAAGATTCTTTCTTTAGATGAGGATTCATTTAGGGATGCTGAAATAGAGAATATTGGGCTTTTCCCCCTTGCTTGAGGCTTTCTCAAAGCCTTCAGGCTTGAAAAGAGAGGGAACTAGAATGTGTAAAGTTAGCCATGCAAAAATACTGTAGAGACACAGTGGTTTGTACTTGTGGTATTTAGTTTTTTTTTCTTGTTTGCAGGCTAAACCAAAACCAGATGAAGAAGTAAAACCTTTGAAGGAACCAGATATAAAGCCTCAAAAAGACAGTGGATGCCAGATTTCTTAAGTGCCATAAGTGTTTTGAATTCACTTTGAAACTGCATTAATTGGACTCTGGGGCTTTAGTTCTAATCTCCCTTCTTCTCATTCTTCTTTTTTAATTTAGAAGACTAATTTAATTTACTTTTGTTTAGTATGTGTCTATCTTGCTTAAGAGTGTCATGGATTTCTAGGAGTTTATTTATATCTGACTTATTTTTGGGTTTAGTGGGGTATCATAGAATGAGTGGGCTTACATGTTCCTATTGTGCCTCTAGAGAGTTGCTTTTTGTGGGTTTAATTTCTACCCACAAATAGCAAAGGGAGTATCATGATTGTAACACTTGAGGATTTTTCCATTAAATTATGTGCTATATAATGTCAAATTCTGCAAACAAAAGTTTGCATGAATGGTTATATTTATTCAGGTTTTGTCATTCAGGCTTAACACCATCGTGTTCCGATTCACTTAATTGTAATGAGCAAAAAAAATCCGGGTTTCATTTGTAACACCTCTATGGTATTTCACAGGACTTTCACAGAAGTTGGAAAACCTTAAGTTCTGCATAACTGGAGCACAATTTATATTATTCTGAAACGATTAGCCTCTGTTCCTTCTTTTATAGATTAGGGTTCTTGTGCCAGAATTTGTAGTAAGGGACTTTAGCTTGTCTGTCTTTAAATTAAAATCCTTTCATATCAAAGTGTATGTGAAGGTGATGCAGCAAGTAATATGAAAGTGCTTAAAAAGTAATGCATCATGGTGTCATTCATTCAGAGAGAATCCTGAAAGATTTGGTAAATTTGAAAGCTGCAGACAGTTAAAATCTCCTGGCAGTAGCTGAATTGTAACTAAGATGCTGTGTTTCCATCTGGGTGGTGTCTGTGAGAAGCTGTTAGTAGAACAGGGAGGAAAGATGAGCTGAAGAGCTGATGGCACAACTGGGAAACCATGCTCTAGATTTTCTTTATGCCATGTGTAAACAGGGCTCTTTCTCAGCTTTTGTAGTGTTGTGCTGAAATCAGCTCCTTGTGACAAGAACTTGCCGAAAGCCAAGCCCAGTCCAGACTGAGAAAAAAAGTATTTTGTAGAACTTGCTTCTTCGATTTCTGCCTACTGTGGAAAATGTGATAACATTCTTTAGTGCTGAGCACTGCAAAACACCTGTGTCAGCAAAAACATAGCTTCCTGATTTGCTGCCAGTGCAAAAGCATATGATGCATGTGTTGAAGTGAGGGCCTTGCAATCTCTGGGTACCAGTTGCTGCACTTCACTTTCCCTGAGAAATACACTGAACAGCCTGAAAATGTTCCCATTTCAACAAAACATGATGGTATATGCAGGAATCATGACGTACACTGTAAACACATTCCTCACGTTGTACTGTTTGTATCGCTTCATCTTCCACTGTGGGTTAATTCAGTGCTTCTGTTTGAAACCTTTCGTGGGGCTTAGAGTAACTTCGCTTAGAGTGCAGGTGTGTAGCTCCTTGAAGGCCTGTGGAACAAAAGCTGTTGAGGAGATGAATAGGAAACTCAAGACTCTTCCTGAGATACTGGACCAAACTATGGAATTCCTTGCTGCAAAAGGCAAAGAGGCTGTTAATGCTGATTGTCATGGGTGAGTCAAATGCAGAACTCGTTACTTCCAGGTTTTCTTTCAGCCAGTTCTGCACACAAAAAGAAAAGTGTAAAAGCAGCTGAATTGCTTTGGAAGAGACTTCTGTTCTGCAAGGGCTTAGGTGGGTAGAAGATAATGAATATCAAGAATTTATATCTAAAATTGGTCCATTTCTTCTGATGCTGCACAGGCGGCTGGTGTGTTTTATTAAGAGTTACTCAGAGCTGTTCATAACTTGATCAGCTGACTGTTTAGGCTTCTTGCATTGTTAAAAGACCAGCTTAGGTTTTGCCAGAACGGAGTGTGAAGCTACTTTGCTTATACAGATCTCAATTCTAAAAACTTACTACAGCTGCAGTCATCCACATTTGCTTAGCCTGCCCCCTTTAAGGATCAAGATGCAGTTAACTAGATTTCATAATCATGGTTTTTTTAGTTGCTCATTGGTTTTCAGTTGCCTCTGTGTGTTACTATGTACACATCTCAACCCAATTAATTTTCTTTCTGTGCAGACTAGATTCCGTTTTCCCTCCGCCCCTCATCTGCTACGCACTGTGGCACAGACAGACCCTTGTTTGCTAATGCATGTGTAGGTCCTGGGATTCATTTCCAATGAGGCTTTTGCCCATGGGTGTATTTCAATATATGAATATCTTAAAAGAAAATTAACAGATCGTGACTAAATCATTCCCAAACAACTTCTTAGGAAAGATTATTTTATGGACTTGCAATTCTTTAGATGCTTTCTCAAACCAAGTGGTTTGTTTGAATCAAGTTCACTGTAAATAGTTTGGGGCATAACCAAGTGGATTGTGTCAGATTATGGCATTACTTAAGCCGAGCTGTGTAACCTCTCATGCTGTAGCTGTTTCACTAAATATGATGTAGTAGTTTAAAAATAGACTAATGGAACAAACTAATTCACTTAACATGTGTTGCTTTTCCAGACAAGCTTTGTTTACTTGTAGTTAAAATCCTATGGCAAACATTAGGTAGTTTTGCCCGAAAGTAGGAAACTGAAGCCTGTTTAGTTTGTAAAGTATAGAGCTGTGAGTCAACGAGCAGGTTTCTCTTTTGGTTTTGTTGGATAGTAGCAAGAATTATTGTAAATAGTATGTAGGTTAACTGTCCAGTATGCTTAAGAATATGGGTGAATTGGCTGGGAGTTACAGTTAATCTGGAAGCGTAGCAGCCACATTCCTTCTGTTATGATTTCCTTTAGTAATTTTTAAGAATGAGGTATTTTAAATGGTGACTTTTTAATACTCTAATGCTGCAAGAGCCTGTTTTTGTGGCCTCTCTCTTGTTTTAGAGGCTCTCATGGCTAAACCTGCAAATCTTGTTGGTGTAAATAGTCTTTTAAAATTTGTGCCCAGTCTGAACTAGGACAAAACTGCAGCTAAACAAAATACGGAGTGCTGGGCCCTCTATTTTGTGCTTTTAAAAATGCAGCGATTGTCTTTTAACCTACTATAAACCAAACCATTAAGCTCTTTGTAAGATTTCTATTTAAATACCTTCATCCATGTATTTAAATACACTTCCTCCATGTTTTGTGTTCCTGGGTTTACAGTAGTTAATCTCCATCCAGCATGTGACACTCCTACAACTGAGGGACTAAATTTGGCCCTTGGATGCTGATGTCTGCCTCCCACTGGATTCGGTAGAGGAAGTTTTGCCTGTCAGCCTAAGGATGACGTTTGGTCACTTAAGTGTTCAGCATGGCCATGTGGTGCATCTGTAGTGATGGTAGTGGTCCATACTATGAGCAAGAAAACAGATCCCTGTATCGGTGTAGAATATAGCCACCTTCGCACTTTAGAAATTTCTGATCTTGCAATTTCGGTACAATACAATATGGCTGTAAATATTCCTTCCTGTCATTTTAATTTTATTGCACTGATTTCAGTACTGTGCTGTTGGTAAGATTTTTATGGGAAGCATTACTAAATGTATGTTTAATTGTCTGTGTATAAAACAAACTCATGAAGCATATCTCTAGTATTGGGGAAACATGAGAGAGGAGGCAGTAGTTCATCTGCCTTCCATGTCAGTTCAGAGAAATGAGAAGTTTCTGTCTGTTGGCTGGGGGATGATACATTTATCCCATCCTTGCGTCTAATATCTAAACTGAAGTTTCAGCATTAACATAAATCCCGTTCATGCCTATTAATTATCCCTAAAAAAAAAATCCGTCTCTAAAGATCATTGCCGAATTATCATAGCAGCATAAGCTGCTTTTTTTTTTTTCCTTTTTTTTTTTTTTTTTCCCCTAACTGGCCCAGTTGAATGAAGAATAAAGCACAGTGAATATGACTGGCATGGAAAAGCCCCTGCAGTGGGTACCTGTCTCGAGATGTTGAGTGCAGCTTAAACGCCTTTCCACAATGACCATTGGTTTCACTCAGATCTTTCCCTGCTGGTGATGCTCTCAAATACAACAAAAGTGTCATGGTAACTGGGGGGGCCCTTGATTAGCTTTCTATGTAGGAAGGCCCAGCTGCTTTGGTGTTGGTGCCTTTATGGATTACAACCTTCTTGAAGCCATCTTGTACTCTGAATAATCAAACTTCAATGGAATCAGCTCTGATAAGATTGACCGAGCAGCCTTACTTTGTGAAGACAGTCACCATGCGATCTTAAGCTTCATACTTTGAAAATTTGTATATAACCACAAGTTTCAGAATACCATTTAAAATAAACAATCTTAATGTATCTGGGTTTGTTTCATCATTTAACATTTTGATTATAGTTGCAAGAAGAAAGGTCTATCTTGAATGTTTCTGCAATTTAATGCAAATATAATAACTAGAGAGAATACTTTATTCTTGCAGTGTGCCCAAAGGAGGACTTAAGTGAGCAAGGTACTTGCGTGACTTGAATGCATATGAAAGTAGTAGCTACAATGAAGCGCTTCAGGTCATAGGACAAGAAGAGAGGAGACAGAATTTCCAAACTACTGTTTAAATAAATAAATAAATAAAAGTCATTAGATATGATTTTGTATGTCTATACAAAATCCTAGTGCTTGCAAAGGTCTGGGACACTCTAGGATATTCTTTATGCTACGTGAAGGGGTCATTTGGAAAGTGCAGATTGCTGGCCACTTCTCCACGGTGCCAGCAGGTGGCAAGTAGGTTTGTAGGAAACAAGTTTTTCCATTTTCAGGGGCATGGTTGGCTATTTCAAGTTTCAGTGTAAATGCACACTAATGCCTTTTAGCCTCTCAGGCTTTAGCACAGTTTTTAGAAGAAAAAAAATATTCTCTATCAGACTCTGGTGCCTACTTCCTTCTGAAATAAATCTTTTTCCTTCAACAAGGTGCATTGAAAAAAACCTACAGAAAAGGTGTTTTCATTCATGCGTGTTGTGACATCAGTAAAACTATCTATGACATTCTATAGTAATTTTCCTCCTTCCTAGTGATTTAAAGGATTTCCATTTCTATGTAGTCCTTAGAATAAGAATTGTCTGTCTGAAACTATCTTCTACTTAATTTTGGTAATATCAAATAATGTTAAAGGAATGTGAAGACTGGACTGTTTTGAGTGTAGCACTGGGAATTTGACAATGTCATGGATATCACCTTTAAGACAAACCTCCCTCTCCAATTTAGAAACGATGTTTTTTTCTGTTTACAGGGTGGGGTTTTTTGGTCTGACATCAGGTTCATCCATTCAACCAGAGAGCCAACCAAACACGTCATTACATTGGGAGAGTGTTCGTAATTTTAGCACGTAGCTGCTGGAATGGATTTTTCTTTTTCTTTCCTCCATGAAGAAAGTAATCTTTTCAGCAACAGTCTCTGCTGAAATGGATGAACCGTGGAACAGATTTCCAAGTCACAGAAAGATGCTGGTTTGCCTTGGAAACTCCTGAAGACCCATGACTTCCATCATGCTGGTTTGAAAACAGCTGATGAGTTACTTGGAACACTTTTCTTCAGACTCCAGAAAGCTGAGTAGCTCCTTGAA